GTTTATTTTTTCTGAGAGAGAGAGAGAGAGAGAGAGAGAGAGCGAGCATGAGAGCATGGGTTGGGAAGGGGCAGAGAGAGGGGGAGAGAGAGAATCCCAAGCAAGCTCCACACTGTCAGCACAGAGCCTGATGCGGGGTTTGAACTCACGAATCGTGAGATCATGACCTGAGCTGAAATCAACAGTCAGCCGCTTAACTGACTGAGCCACCCAGACACCCGCCATGGATTATATTTTCAGTAGCCCTAGAGATTGGCATAACATTACCCCCATTTTACAGACGAAACAGAGGTGCAGTGAGGTTAAGTATTTGTCCAATATCAGACAGTTTATAAATGGTAGAGCCAGGATTTGATAAAATTGGACAGAGAGGAGATCAATTATTAATCTATATACATAAGGTAAACCAGCTACCGTTTAGCTACCTACTGAATACTTTATGCTCATCATCTCTATTCCTGGGAGTTATTCTACAAGCCACACTTTACAGATGAGGAAATGGAGAGCCAGACAAGTTTAGTACATTGCCAACGTCCCACGGCTAGAAGGACAGGCCTGGGATTAGAGCCAGCCAGGCTGATTTCAAAGGCTCTTAACCTTGGTGTTGGCCACGCTTTTTGTGAATGGGCGTCCTACCTCAGGGCTGATCCGAGGGAGCTAGTGGCCCTGGTTCCCAGTACCTCTGCAGTTCTGGGGACCCCACCATTCAGTACCTGGGCCGATTCCTCAGGCAGCCCACTTCTCCGCTGGGGGCCACCCAACACCCATTCGACCTGCTGGATCCAGGGCCTGTTGCTCTGGTTGTGCCCATGGTCTTGTGACCTGGGCACTGTCCTGCTCCCCCAGCCCCCAGGGGCCTCCCTTGTCTCTCCTGCTCCCCTGCCATCAGGAAGCTGGTTCAACTTGGCCTCTGTCTCCCGTCAGCTCCTGAGATGGTGAAGGGAGAGCCCATCGGTTCCGCCACGGACATCTGGGGAGCGGGTGTGCTCACTTACATCATGTGAGTGCCCCTAGGACCCACCTTCCGCCTACATCCCTCTCCCCACTCACAGCCTCCCCTGCACACAATGCACACGCCCAGCTCAGGCTCAGTAGACTTATCTCTGAGCACTGTGCCCTTCTGAACCCCCACACTAACGTCCCCCTGGGGCTGTGAGCTGACCTTCGGTCCACATGCATCAACTGAACCGTCTCCACAACAGGCTCAGTGGACGCTCCCCGTTCTATGAGCCAGACCCCCAGGAAACAGAGGCTCGGATTGTGGGGGGCCGCTTTGATGCCTTCCAGCTGTACCCTAACACCTCCCAAAGCGCCACACTCTTCTTGCGGAAGGTCCTCTCGGTACACCCCTGGTGAGTAGGCCCCACACTTGCCAACCCACCTGGCATTACCTGCCCGCGGCCTCAGACCACCCTGGCCAAGCCTGAGCCGAAGCCCCCCCCCCACCCCAATTCCTCCCCGGCCACCACTAATACACCACTACTTTTAAATGGTTGTTCTCTCCACCACTGATGCCTTTAAGCCCCGTGAGGCGGGCAGAGTCACCGCCCCTGCTCCAGAGATGGGGAAACCGAGCCCCAGAGTTTGGCTCGCTGAGGGATGTGAATCCAGGACCGGGACTTGGATCCGTGGGAGGGCGGAGCCTTCCAGGCTCACTGTCCCTGGCCGGCCTGGCAGGAGCCGGCCCTCCCTGCAGGACTGCCTGGCCCACCCCTGGCTGCAGGATGCCTACCTGATGAAGCTGCGTCGCCAGACGCTCACCTTCACCACCAACCGGCTCAAGGAGTTTCTGGGTGAGCAGCGGCGCCGCCGGGCTGAGGCTGCCACCCGTCACAAGGTGCTGCTCCGCTCCTACCCAGGCAGCCCCTAGCGGCTCGGACCACAGCCTGGCCTCGGGCTTCAACTCGGGGCTCCACTGAGGCCACGGGACATTCCAGGGCCCCTACTGAGCCGGGTGGGCCCAGGGCTTCGGACACCACCAGCAGCAACATCCAGCCGGGCTGTTACCTCATGGACCTGCAGGGACAGAGGCCCTGGGCTTTGCCGATGCCACCCCGGCCAGAGCCAGAGGGGGAGACCCATGGGCCAGGCTGGGTGGGGGTGGGGGCACGGGAGCAGGGAAGCAGGAAGAGGGGCAAGAAGGGAATGGGTAAGAGACAAGGAAAAGAAGCCACGGGATAGGGAGAGGAGACTCTAGGAAGGTTCTGGGGGGGAGAGACAATGTATCTGGGGGGAAACCAACTTAGCAGGATGTGAATAGCTGGAGAGGAGGAAGAGGAAGGAGCCCAGCGTGTCAGGGCCATGGGCTGGAAGTGAGTGTTGGTGGAGCGGGGACAGGACGTGGAGACAGCGCTAGGGAGCCAGAGCCAGCACGTGAGGGAGGGCAGCAAAGTGGGGGAGGGAGAGGAGGGGACTCAGGTGGGGTGGGGTGAAGTGGGCCAGCTGCCAGCATCCCAGAAGGAGAACCTGGAGCACTGGGGCCTGGAAGCAGTGATTACGGGAGCCAGTGCTCTCCTGTCCCAGTGGATGCAGCTGTGAGCTCTCTGCTGGCCCAAGGATGTCCCCGCTGCCCCTCTGTGGCCTTCACCCTTCTTCCCATTCATATTTATTTATTTATTGACTTTTATGAAATTTCCCTTCCATCCAGTTCCTATTGCCCATGTTGTCCTGACCATCCCCCCAGCCATCCAGCTGTCTGTGCAGCTGTCTGTCTGTCTGTCACAAGGAAAATAAAAACAGCAAGCAGCAGGACCTATGTGTGGTCAATGGGGAGGGATGATGGGGGGGAGGGGAACAGGGTGCTGGGGGTGCTGGGACAGGGGCATTTCGGCCTGCCCTTGGCCAGTGAGAGCTCAGGTGTAACAGCTAGCATCTTAGGACCATGGCTCCTGACCCTGACCCTCCTGGCCCCTCACCTTTCCCTTATTCTGCCCCTCCTTCTGAAGTTTCTGGAATCCTGGCAGGACCACTGACTCCTCACCACTACCATGTAACCAGAGTCTGGTGGCCCCCATCTTGTGTCACATATTACCTCATTGCAACTTGGAGGATACTGGGCTCTGGAATGTACCAGTCCACACCCCAAGGCTGGCACGGCCAGCATGTCTGCCCAGGAGACAGGCCAGCTCTGGTCCCGACCCCTGGAACAGAAGGGCTTTCATCATGATAATTGGCAAGATGGTGATGATGGCATGAAAGGGCCGCAGAGGAAACCAGGACACGTTCTCGCTCCACGCTTTTGTGTTAGAGCACCAATCAGGCACCTGGGGCGCCAGCTGCACAAGGCTGTGGCCGGCGTGTCGGCTGAGATAGGGCCACCGACGAGCATCTTCCTAGAGCTAAGGGGCACACCAAGCTGGATCTTCTTGTCCCCATGGCACGCTAGGGAGTCTGATGGGTGCCGAGGCTCCTTGACTCTAGCTGCTCCCTGTAGCACCACAGAATGGTCGCTGGGGTCCTAGAACTGAGCTGCTCTGCCCAGAGGTGAAGGGGAGGAGGGAGCCAGTTCTCCTTGTGTCCAGGGGGGGCTGTTTCCTACCTCCTCCACACCTTGCAAACTCTGTTCTTGGCAAAGTGAGAGGAATTAAAGTCTCCTCCCACCATGAGCAGAGAGAGGTAGCACTGGTGTGTTGCCGATCGTGGTTGAGGGCCCCTTGGCTGTGCCCCCAAACAACCTTCACCCAGCCTCACCCAGCCCAGCCTCCCTGGCTTCTCAGGAACCCCAGGGAAGAGGCAAGCCCCATCATCATAAAATAACAGGATGTTCAAGCCAGCTGGAAGGAACTACAGAGACGTCTTGCCCACCTGTCATTTTAGCGATGAAGATATACAGTTTGCCTGTGAGAATCTTTAATCCCCTACTCACTGCAAGTGTTTTCATATAAAAATGAGGTGCCTGAACTCATATCTTGATAAATGGTAAAATTCCTCTCCCGTCCCCACTCTGATCTTGAGCTCCCTTCCCATCTCCATTGAAAATGGCATGTGAACTGCTTGTTCCAAACCCGGAGGAGCAAAGGTAATTTATGTCAGCAGAGCTGTGTCAAAATTGCTCTGATCAAAAGGTGACAGTGCTCCACACCTGGGCGGGCAGTTACAAAGAGTGGAAGCAATGCTCTTCCTGGTGCCCTGGACTGGGTAGGCTGGACTCCAGGCAAGTCCCAGCAGGGTTAACTGAACCCCTTCATCCAAGCTGTCTGGTGCCCCCATGCACTAGTTTACGACCCCAAAGGGGCTTGGGCAGACCTAGAATTGGGGGATTGGTATTAATGCCAAATCTCCCGGGACAGTGCCGCCCAGCCAGACCCTACCATGTCACATGGAGGGAAGAGAGTGGGACTGGGGTGGTAGAAGGGGGTGCTGTGCTCAAAAATCTTTACCATCCCCTCTAGGTTTATCTCAGTTGACCGCCAGGGGGCACAGCGCGGAAATGACAACCCTAGGCTTCCAGGGCCAGGGGAGTAAGTGCTTCCAGATTGGTCCTGACAGCCACACTGCCCTCTCATAATTGGCTGGATGGACAGCGAAGTACCCCGCTACTCTAGCGTCATTCAGGGGCGCCCCCCCAAACACTTGTGCCCCTTAACGGACAGTGTCCTGGGAAGCGCATGTTGTCTGACAGTCTGGGGACTGACCAGAGCGTAAAGCTGCCCCAGCTGGGAGCTGAATCTCTTGTCAGCCTGGGCCCTTGTCTGGTCCTCCCAGGAGTGGGATGGTTACCCCCTGCCCTGGGAGGGGGTGGGGCCGCATCCAGCTGCCCAGCTGTCCAGGTGCTGACATGAAGTGCACCCCAGAGCTGCTCGGGTTTCCTCCCCGGGGCCTGCCCCAGAGGCTGAGCCAGCATCCCAACACATCCTCAGGCTAAATAAGGAGCCCGCTTGGGTCAGTGGGCGGGGCTGGGGTCCCCGGGGGGCTTGGGGCAACCACGCCAAACAAGGCAAGGAGGGGAGTGATGTATAAAACCAGGGCCGTGGGCTGAGCACCTGCTCGTGCCCCTACTGTGCCTTCCAGGAGGGCTCTGTCCCACCTCCCACCCAGCTAGTCGACCCAAGTCCTGAAGTCGACCCGCCCGCGGTGAGTCCCCATCCTCAGATCAGCCCCAGACACTCCCATCCCCCAAGATGTTCTGAATTGACAGGGAAAAGGCTGAAAGTCAAAGTCTCTGTGTGAGCCTAGACCCCATGTTTGTTTTGCGCTCCCCAGATGTCCAAAGCAGCTCCCGCCAAAAAACCAGCGGCTGCGGCCCCGCCTCCGGGATGTACCCTGGATATCAACGACCCCCAGGTCCAGAGAGCAGCCATTCGCATCCAGGCCTCTTACCGGGGCCACAGGTGAGGGGGAGCCCGGAGCCCTCAGGAGGAGGGGAGCTGGAGCTGCAGAAAGCACCCTGCTGCGTGGGGGGTGGAAGCTGAGCACAGTGCTATGGACCGCTGGGGTCCCTGCACTTAGGGGAAAGCCGTTAGTGAGGTGTGGCACAGTGGCCGACAAGAATAAATCATTTCATCAGGGTAACAGTTCAAGAGCAGGCTCCCTCCGAACCCATCCCCACATTTAAAGTTCTAGTGGACCGAATGGGGGAGGGGGCGAGGAATTTGGTGCCCGCGGTCCAGAGCCGTGTCGTGGGTCCTCTGGGCCCTGAGCCGGCTCTTTGATAGGTCCCGGAAGGAGCTTCGCGAGAAGGGGCCACCACGAGTGCTGGAGCCACTGAAGGACGTGGTGCTGATCGAGGGCAGCGCGGCCAAGCTGACTTGCCGCATTTCGGCTTTCCCGGACCCATTCATCCGCTGGAGCAAGGACGGCAAGGAGCTGCGTGACGGGCCCAAGTATCGTTACGTTTTCGAGGACCCTGACGTGGTCGCCCTGGTGGTGCGCGACGGCGAGCTGGCAGACCTGGGCCAGTACAGCATCAACGTAACCAACCCCTTCGGCCAGTGCTCCGACTCGGCGCGCATCCTGGTGGAAGGTACGCGCGCCCCGGGTGCCACCACGCAGAGCGGCACCACCTCCAGGTGCCGCAACTGGGTCCAGCCGCGCGCGATCCGCTGGGCCTAGCCGAGTCCCGATGGGGCTGGGGGCACCGCCTGCCTCAGGAGCCCTTCCCACCCAGACTGAGAAGTCCGCAGTGGGCTTCCATCACTCCACACCAGGGCCCCAAGGTCACATTGAACCAGAGGCATTACCAGAGTTAGGGCCCAGGTCTTCGGACTCCAACCCGGGGCAATTTCCACTACGTGGAGCTGTCTCCAGGGCACCGAGGTGTGTAAACATTCCCGGGCTTGCACTCGTAGTACCTCTTTTGATCCTCCGTCCCCCCCTCTCCCCCGTGGGAAGTTGGAACGGCAGCTGCTAGCCCGGCTTAACAGCTGAGGAGATGAAGCCACAGAGAGGCTACAGGCTTGCCCCGCGTCACACTGCGAGTTTAAATCCATCTCGTATTTAGCGCTGGGTATTATCTGGGGAGGTGATGCCCCTGCCCCGCCTCACCCCTAGGACCCTCACTAGGTCGCATGCCCTTTCTCTTCTAGTCCCTGCGAAGATTCAAAAGGGACCGGATAACACTAAGGCGCGCAAAGGCGCCACGGTGACGCTGACTGCGGAGATCATGGGCGAGCCTGCACCCGACGTGGGCTGGACCAAGGACGGGGAGGACATCGAGGAGGATGACAGGCGAGGGCGGGGACCTGCCGCTGGGGCGGAACGGGGCCCAGAAAACTGGCGGGAGTGGGCCGGGGGGCGGGGAACGGGAGGCGAGCACCAGAGCTGGCTAACCAGCCGGGCCCCGGGCGCCTGTAACCTGACCGCGGGCCGCCCTCCCCACTCCCGCTCTCCCCGCCAGGGTGTTCTTCGAGATCGGCAGTACCACCACGACGCTGACCATCCGCCGGGCCACGCCCGAGGACAGCGGCAAGTACGAGGTGTACGTGGAGAACAGCCTGGGCATGGACCAGAGCTTCGCACGAGTGGACGTGGCCTGAAAGGAACGCTCGGACCTTTCGCCCTGGCTCCAAGCCCCGGGGTGGGTGGGACCGACAACCTTCCTCCATCTTGCTTAATAAAGCTGTTCTCTCTGACCCTCCGCCTGTTCTGTTCTTTGGAGACGCCGTTTCTTTTCCCCTGCACTCCAATCCCACGCTTACTCCAGACCCACACACCACGGTCACAGAATGTTGGGATCAGAATGTTTGGAGAGTGACTGGTCCAGTGCTTCATTTTACAGACCGTAAATCTGAGACAAGGTTTCTCTCAACGACCGAAGCTCCTTCCCTTACCAGCCGGACGGTCGGAGGATCTTATGACTCCGCCTTCTCTTTTTCTGAGTCCCTCAAGCCCCACCCACTCGCGGTAGGAGGCTCTCGCCACGCCCATCTCAAGACTGGCCACACCCCCTTTCGTCTCTAGCCCCCGCCTCTCCGTGTCCCTGTTCTCTACTTTGACTGCTACTCCTGGGCCCGTTCCTGGACAGTTTGGGGTCCTAATCTTAGCTTCCAGCCTCGCCTCTTAGGCCCCACCCTTCTCTTTAGCCACTCCCCTCCATCCCTAGGCCGCGCCCCATTCTTCTCCCTTTAGTCCCACCTCCCTCCTCTTTCGTAGTTGGAAGGAGGGGTAGCGAGGAGGGCTACGGCAAACAAGAGCTTAAGAACTACTATTCCCGGCATACTCCGCGAAGGAGTTCTCGCGAGTGGCGAGAAGACACGTGCGCGGAAGGAGCAAGCGGTAGCTGGCCGCAGAGCTGGAATAAAGGGACCTAGTGGTAAACGGAGCCGATGGAGGGGTGGCGAAAGGGGTAGGAGGGAGGGGACCGCCCCTAGACCGGTGGCTGCTCGGAGGTCCCGGCTGGCCCTTCGGAGGTCTGCTCTTGTGTTAGCCCCGCAACCGCTGTCTAAGCAAGGCTAGGGTTTGTTAGACGGAGTCAGTTGTAGGGTTCAGAGGGTCAGCAATCAATCCTACGAATGCAGAGTTTTAGCACTCGTCGCCAGTATTGGGACTCAGGGGCTAGTAGATTCCGTGTTTAAGATGCCAAGGGAATCTGTCTTTTGATTCAGGGTTCATCACTTAGAGGTTAGTTTTAGAATTCAAGTTCGGCATATAAAGGGTTTTTGCTCGGACTTGGGATTCATGAGATGCGGATCAGTGTTACCTTATTTCTAGGGATTCACTCTTAGGATTGTGGTTAAATATCTAGGGCATACTCAGGATTTGAGATTCAGTATTCAGGGTTCACTCATGGGATTCAGGGCTTAACATCTACAGCATAAGAATGTAACAATTGGAAATCATTGGGTTTGGGGTTTTGGTTTTGAGGTTTGGGGTCTAAGAGGTCTATTACTGAGTTTCTGAGTTAGCTAGATTTGCTTATGGCCACAGGGAAGTCTGTTGGATCAAATTGCAAGGTGTGAATTTCAGGAATTAGGAGAAACCACTGTGGGGTTTAAGGTCAGTTGGAATCTGGGATGGGATTTCAGATGTGTGGGATTTGTGAGGTGTTGTGTCCAGGGAGGGACTACATTGAATTTTGGATTTACATCCTGTGAGAGGGCTAAGTGTTTCTATTTGGGGTTTGGGGTTTGCTTGGGATGTGAGTGGGGTTCTTGGATTGGGGTGTGAGATCTGAGCCTGATTTCTCTGTTGGGATTTGAGGTTTAGGTAGCGATTGCCATCATGCTGAAAGCTGTGATCCTGATTGGAGGCCCTCAAAAGGGTGAGGAGCCCCGGGGAAAGGAGCAGGGAGGTTGGGCTGGAGCGGTTGGTGGAGCGGAGGCAGAGGGAGGGAGGCAAGAAGCTGTAATGGGCTTCTCTCTCCTGTCTCAGGGACTCGCTTCAGGCCTTTGTCTTTTGAAGTGCCCAAACCCCTGTTTCCAGTGGCAGGGGTCCCTATGATCCAGCACCACATTGAGGCTTGTGCCCAGGTAACCCCGTAGGCTCCCCACTCCCACCTCACTTCCTGCTTATCTTCTTCATGCTGTACGTCCCCCTTTCCAACCGTGTCTTGTTCCCACCAGGCATAACTCCAAGGACTCCCATTTACAAATGACAGTGTGAATGGTGTCCCTTGGAGTTATGCAGTGCAACTGCCCTGCTGTCCTTACTAATCTGGTCTCTCATCTGGCCTCTTCTTGGTTAGATTTCACTCCTATTTTTAAAGCACGGAATGTGCGAGCAGGCAGGAATCTTAGAGACCATTTAAAGCTGTAGCATGAGGAACCTTAATGATAGCAAAGCCCAGAACTCAAACCGTTGCTCACCATGGAGCTAATTTCTGTCTTGCTTTTATCATTGGGACAGGTAGAGGTTTATCTGAATCCAGTCTCTGCCTGCTATAAGGACTTGAGTAAATTTCTCCCTGCTTTGTGAGCCTTAGTTTCCTTATTTGTCAAATGGGGTGATTAAAACCTACTTTGTGGGCTGACAGAGCTTAGAGATGAGGTTGGTAAAGTGCCTAGTACAAAGTAGGCACTTGATAAATGGTACCCATATCTCATGCTGATCTCAAGCTCAGATTGACAGATAATAAATATGGGGGGAAATGAAAGGATTATCTTTTCATGCAGCTTGGTGAGCAGAATCTTTCCTAGGGTGATCTTCAGATGTGGGGGATGGGGGGGGGGGACAGTAAAATAGTAAAAGATTGAAAGACCAGGGACAGACTTCCTTTAACTTCCTTTTTGTCTGGAGGAGAAATCAGGCCAGAGTGGTAAAGTAAGTGCCCAGGGGCCCCACAGCTGAGACCAAAACTGTGGTCTCTGGACTCCTGGGACTGTCCCAGGGGTTCCCTGAACATTCCCTCCTATCAGATATTTTCTTTTTCCTCCCAACCTCTTCCCTTGTTCTCAGGTCCCTGGCATGCAGGAGATTCTGCTCATTGGCTTCTACCAACCTGACGAGCCCCTTACCCGGTTTCTAGAGGCTGCCCAGCAGGAGTTTAACCTTCCAGTCAGGTGTTTGTGCACACGTGCAGTATGGGGGTGTGGGACAGTGACCTAGGCCTCAGGGTTCTTGTGAGTGGGTTGAGTTGGTGTTTGCCAGACTTTACCCTTCTATACTGGGAGGATTCTTGTTTGGGCCTCTCTGAATCCCTGAGTATATTGGCCTTAGGCAGATGTACTCCTGGGAGCAGGAGGGGTCAGATGCCAGGCTCAGGATATCTGCCTCCTTTGATCTCACTGAGCTGGCTCTGGGGTCCCTGGGGACAGGTACCTGCAGGAATTTGCGCCCCTGGGCACAGGGGGTGGTCTCTACCATTTCCGGGACCAGATCCTGGCTGGGGGCCCTGAGGCCTTCTTCGTGCTCAACGCTGACGTCTGTTCCGACTTCCCCTTGAGTGCTATGTTGGATGCCTACAGACACCAGCCTCACCCTTTCTTGCTCCTTGGCACCACGGTGAGGGGGCTGGGAAGGCTGGAGGGTGTAAAGGGGGTGATCCAGAGAAGTTCCTGGAATGCAGGGTGTCGGGGAGGCAGGGGCAGCCCAGGGAGCTGGAGTGGGAACCGACATCAAGAGGGAAATGTGCCAGAAATCCCAGCAGTAGCTGAGGTGGCGGTGGAGACCCTGAGCCCTGTGGCTGCTTGGAAAGAAGGGAGGGGGAGGGCAGCTGTCAGTTCTCCCCCTGCTGAAGGCCTGTCAGTGGCAGAAATATGTGGCAGGTGCTGCAGAGGAGGGAAAGAAAGCAAGAAAACAGACCTTGCTGCCCTGGAGCAGGCGGGTCATTGTTTTGGTGTGTCTGTCTTTCAGGCTAACAGGACACAATCCCTCAACTACGGCTGCATTGTAGAGAATCCACAGACACACGAGGTGAGAGCAGAGAGGGGGCTGGCTGGGTTCTTACTCTGGGTCATCATTCCCCCACCCCTCTGCTTCTAGAGAATGCTAGAATGCTGTTTTTCTAAAAGCACTTTAGTTATTTTGAGAGAGACAGAGAGAGTGCATGCATGCACCCACGTGTGTGGAGGAGGGGCAGAGAGAGAGGGAGAGAGAGAAAGAATCCCAAGCAGGTTCCATGCTGTCACTGCAGAGCCCGATATGGGGCTCAATCCCACAAACCGTGAGATCATGACCTGAGCTGAAATAAGTCGGATGTTCAACCGACTGAGCCGCCCAGGCACCCTGAGGATGCTGGGATGCTATTGGGGGGGCCCCAGTGCTGTCAGACTGGTGGGGCATACCCTTGGTTGTTCATCTTCTATCCGTTCTAGAGAGATTGGCAAAAAGCAAAGGGGTAACAGTTAATTTCCATGGGTTCATCGCCCCAATAGATGTATGCACAGGGTGCTATGGGAACACAAAAGGAGGCCCACCCCAGCCTTGCCTGGGTGGGGGCTGGGAGAGCTCCCTGGAAGAGGCAAGGTCTGAGCCGAGTTAAATTCACATAGAGGAAGAAGGAGACTGGAAGGCATTGCAGGTAGGGGGCCTGCAGGGCAAAGCAGAGGTTCTCTGTCCTTGTTTGTCAAACTCCCAGCCCTTGAGCCTAATTGACTTTCACACCGACGTTTTATTTGCTCAAGCTTTCGTATTAAAAATACATCTAAACAGGCACACGCAGGTAGACATACACACATACACATAAATATGTGTGATTTTGGGTGTTTTTAAGTTTTATGCGAGGCACTAGCTAGATGTTAGAGAGACAGAGCCAAAGAAATACAATCCCTGCCTCTCAGGAACCCCCTGTCAGTGGGAAAGACAGGCAAAAATCAAACGTTGCAAATGACACAGGTGCCACAGTGCGGTGTGGCCAGAGGCCACGGGTGCCCAGACCTGAGAAGCCACCTGTGAGGCAGGACAAGAGCAGACTCACAGAGGCAGTGGCAGAGTGGACTGGGTTTTGAAAGCTGGGTTTTCCAGATGAAGAGCGGAGAAAGGGCATTCCAGGCACAGGCAGGCGCAACGGCATTGAATTGTGCTCCAGGGCTGCTGGGAGGTGGGGAGGATTGGGAGGGAAAAGGCACGGAGTTGGGACTTCTCTTGAAGGTGAAGGGCAGTGACTGCAGTTAGGAAGGCCACCCTGGCGGCAGGGAGTACCTGGAGATCAGAAGGTCTTAGGGGATGGTGGCAGCGGCCCCTCCTCTCCCAGACTCAGCCTGCTGTGTCCCCAGGTCCTGCACTACGTGGAGAAACCCAGCACTTTTGTTAGTGACATCATCAACTGCGGCATCTACCTCTTTTCCCCCGAAGCCCTGAAGCCCCTTCGGGACGTCTTCCAGCGTAACCAGCAGGATGGGCAACTGTGAGGCGGGCCCCATGGCCCTGTAACCCAAGTACCACTCCGTCCCAGACCACCCGTAACCCCCCCTACCCCCCCCACCCCAGTCTCTGCAGGCTCCATCTCTACCCGCTCACCTTCCTCCTTCCTTTTCCTTTCCTCTTGTCATCCCCAGCTGAGCCTTCCCAGTCCCTCCCCTTCTAACCTCATTCTGTCCCTCTTCCTTATCCATCCCGGTTCCTCCTCTGTCACTGCCTGCCCACTCCCCTTCTGGTCCATTTCTCTCAAGCCCTAAGTGTCCCAGAGATGTCTTTCAGAACAGAAGGCAACACACACACTTGGGCGCACACACGCTTGGGTGTAGAGACATGCAGAGAGAGAGAGAGAGAGAGAGAGAGAGAGAGAGAGAGAGAGAGACACACACACACACACACACACACACACACACACTCTCTCATAGCATAGTGCTCCCCCTCATAGCATAGTGCCCAGAGTCCTGCTGAGCACAGTCCCCTCCCCAGGTCATCCTTGGAGGCCCCGGACGTGTTTCCCCCACCCCGTGTTTCCCCCACCCCGTGGGTCCTGCCCTTCACCCCCTCCTCCCCGCTGGCTCCCCATCTCATGCCTCACTCTCTCACTCTCATCCATCTCTGCTTCTCTCTCCATCTCTCCTGGCCTCTGTCTGTTTCTGCTGAGCTGGCATCTCTACCATCTCTCTCTCCCCCTCTCTTTCTGTGACTGTCTCTGCCCTCACCAGCTGTCTTCCTCTGGGGTGAGTGTCTGTGTTTCCTTCCATCCTGTGAGAGGGAGGGTAGCCGGAGATGGGATTGGGAGGAGTGGACGGGGAGGAGAATAGGAAAATGGGGGGAAGCTATGTCTGGGTCAACTTCTTGGACAGGGGGCAGAGATGGGGTGTGGTCCATGCCTGGGGATCCCCCGGGATACCACCCTAGCTAGGGGTGGAGGGTGATGTGGGTAAGGGCAGTGGGAGAGTCTCCGGGGACATAAGCCTCCCCTTGGAGAGGGTCTGACCAGACCTGGAGAGGGGGTGGGATTCCCTCAGATTCCTATCCTCTGAGAGACTGTGTGGGTCTCCCAGGCCAGCTCAGCCGGGGCACTGATGCCCACATCTTCTCCTCTCTGCCAGGGAGGACTCTTCAGGCCTATGGCCAGGGGCAGGCACCATCCGCTTGGAACAGGATGTGTTCTCAGCCCTGGCTGGACAGGGCCAGATCTATGTACACCTCACTGATGGTATCTGGAGCCAGATCAAGTCTGCAGGGTACGTATGCCTCTGGGAGGTGAGTGGGGCACCTGGGAGTTGAGACTTTCGGGTGGTAGGCACCTGCTGGCCCCTGAACCCCTGTTCCACTTTGTGGGCCCCTCCAGCTCAGCCCTCTATGCCTCCCGCCTCTACCTGGGCCAGTACCAGCTCACTCACCCAGAACGCCTGGCCAAGCACACCCCAGGGGGTCCACGAATCCGAGGTACCCGCCCTGCCCCCTTCCTAATCTTTGCCCCCCACCCCAGCCTCCTGTACCCTCAGAGCCATGACTCCCAACCTCAGATTCAGAGGTGAAGACTCAATCCCTGCCCTCCCTGAACCAGATATGGTTTAGGGTATTTGCCCCCAGGTCTTCTCTTCTGCTTCTAGGAAACGTTTACATCCACCCAACGGCCAAGGTGGCCCCGTCGGCTGTGGTAAGCGGTGGGCCAGGCTGTCCGGATGGGTGGGGCGGTGCAGATAACTCCTGAGCTCAGAGTGCTGGGCTCTGCGTTGTCAGCCCATTGTGTGGCCACAAGCAGGTCCCTTCCCTTTATCTGTTCTATGAAGGGTTTGGATTTGGGTTTCTCCAAGGCCCTCCAGGGGTCATAGTATGTGTTCCTCTCCACAGCTGGGCCCCAATGTCTCCATTGGGGAGGGGGTGACCGTGGGCGAGGGTGTGCGGCTCCGAGAGAGCATTGTCCTCCATGGAGCCACGCTGCAGGTAGGTGCCCAGGCACATGCGGCAGGCAGGGCATGGGACCCTGAGGCTGGAGGGGAGGGGTGAACCCTGTGGGCTCTGCATCTGGCACCTTCTACCCCCTCACTTCACACTGTCATGTTTGGCAGGAGCACACGTGTGTTCTGCACACCATTGTGGGCTGGGGGAGCACTGTGGGGCGCTGGGCCCGTGTGGAGGGTACCCCCAATGACCCCAATCCCAACGACCCGCGAGCACACATGGACAGTGAGAGCCTCTTCAAGGATGGGAAGCTGCTGCCTGCCATCACCATCCTAGGTATGGCTTCCTAGGGGACAGACGGCTGTGGAAAACCTCCACAGGTGATGGCTTTGCCCTGTGGGGAGCATGTGTGCACGTGTGTGTGTGTGTGTGTGTGTTTGCGTGCACACATACACATGCGTGTTTACTCCCTTAGCAAACATTTACCAAGTGCTTGCTGTGTGCCAGGCCCTGATTTGAGTCACTGGGGGCAAGAGGCCAGGGCACAGATGGGCAGGGAGGGATCCCTCCCGGATGGCAGTGGCCCCAGCTCCTGGCCTCTGGTCTCCCCTCCCCATGGCTTCCTCCTGGTGCCCTCGTCCCCCCTGCAGGCTGCCGTGTCCGGATCCCTGCTGAGGTGCTCATCCTGAACTCGATTGTTCTGCCACACAAGGAGCTGAGCCGCAGCTTTACCAACCAGATCATCCTCTGAGGGGGACTGCCAGAAGGCACCCCTCCAACTCCTGCCCACCCCCCTCAAGGCTGCTGCCTGCATGGCCAGCCTCTGTCCAAAAAGACCGGAGGAAGCCAGGCAGGATCTTCACATGTCGGGGAGCAACGTGGGTGGCCGGGTGGCTGGGGAGACTCCAGGCCTCCCTCTCCGCTCCCTAATAAACCCCCGTGAACCTTGGAGCCAGCACGGACTCCCGTTTGTGCCTGGGCTGGGGGTGGGGGTGGAAGGGGGGCAGCTGAGTCAGGCCCCCCCACATTAGCATTTAAATTGGAGTCATCGCTGCCGGCTCATGAATAATGAATCTGGAGCCCTGGTAAATCTCCCCCTCCCAGTGCCTTTAGCCTCTCTCGCTGCTAGGGAGGAAGGCCCCCAAGGCTCCCAGCCTGCCTGGCCCCTGCCTTCACCCCCACCCCAGCATGGCCAGCTTGCCAGCCTTCCTGTTCCTCTTCGTTGGCCCTGGCTCGGGCTCTGAGTGTAAGGATTCTGAAGGGAAGGGTGAAGGATTTCGGTGGGGCCGTGGGGTGCTGGCCGTGGGCTCACAGACTGAGAGCCACAGGCCTGAGATTGGATCAGCCGGTGGTTGCTTTCCTCAGTTTCTGCCCAGCCCGGCCCCAGCCTGTTTTCCGCTTTGCCAGCTCCATCTGTTCCTCGCCTGGCTTTTGGCTGGGTGGGGGTTTCTCCCCTCCCGAGGCCTGGTTGGTGTCTGTCTTCTCCCCTGGCAGGCGGGACAGACCTAACTAAGCTGGTACCTGCAGCACAGTGGGGCCCCTGGTGCTGGGAGAGGAGGGGCCCTGGCCACCTCCCGCCACCAACTTTGCCCTTTGGGAGGTCTTAGTCCTCTCCACATTCCTGAAGCCCCAGAGAAACCCAACCATCTATCATGTTTGCCCGTGACCCCCGTGTGCCCCTCTTGGTGCCCCCCCCCTTCCCCAGCTGTGGGTGCGGAGCTTAGTTGCCAGATGAGCTGGTAATGATCGTAATCTGCTAATTGAGAGGAATCTAATTACCCAAAGAGAATGGGGGGGCAGGGCGTGGGTGGGAGGGAGGAGGGGGTCCTGGCAGCAGGCAGGGGTGGCAGGCGGCAGGGTGCCGGGGCCTTGTTATCAGCACCAGGGTCTGGGACAGAGCCCAGGATTTCAGAGCATCAGAGCTGAGCAGTTAGGAAGATGTGCTTTCTCTGGAGCCGGGCTGAGGGTAATGTGGGAATTGGGCTAGATGTGACCTCCCAGCCCCCTCAGGCCCTGCAGGCTGTATGGGAGTGTGTGTGAAAGGAGCCGGGTTTTAGCAGTCCTGACCTACGACCTGCCTTGACTCAGCCTCTTTCCCATTCCTGTCCCTGCCTCCAGCCCAGACCTTCCATTATCAGCATGGGGTTGGAGGGAACGGCAGATGCTTACTCTGGGCCTGGGGTCAACTCCCTGAGGAGGGAGCTGGGAGAGAGATGGGCTATGGGGCCAGAGACTGGGTCCCTTCCCTGCCCTCCCCCCAGTCCTGACCCTTCTGTTCCAAGTGGTTGGCAGAGGCCATGGCAGCTCCATCATAAATATGATAATTTAATTATTTTCTCAGCAAAACACCGTGAAATCCAATAAGTCTGTGTCAGGCCCTGGCCCCCGGGACCCCCCTCCTAGGCCCAGTGGGGGTGGGGAGAGGCACTGGAAGGGGAAAGGGTCAGTGTTTGAAGCGGGGGGTGGCCAGTGTAGCGGAGATCCTTGTAACATGCCCCCTCCCACCAGGCTGCCCTAGTCACTGCTGCGTGTGTGCTCAGGCAGAGGTGGGGGTCTAGGAAGGAGCTGTGATGCCCTCCACTCCCCTCCAGCCCTTGTCCGCCCCAGGAGGGACTCAGCACCCAGTCTGCCTCTGAGGGCACAGCTCAGGGCCCAGGATGTGGGAGCCCCCTTCTCCACCACCTCTAGGTCTTCGTTGGCCCTGTAGGAGTAGGAGGGTGCTGGCCCCCAAAGGGTTGGAGAAGGGAGAAGGGAGGGAGCTGGGGTGGGAAGTGGGGGTGAGCGGGGGAAGGGATGCGGGGGAGGGGTGCGCTCCTGCCATTAGTGCTTTTTTAGGTTTCCATAAAAAGATGATTCTGTAAAATCCACGAGGGGGAGCAAGCTGGGGGCTGGGGAGGGGGGCAGGTCCCTGGCACCGAGCTGGATGGGGCGATGGGAGGAGAGCTGGGGCCCGACCGGGACCGAGCTTGGACGGAAATTTGGATGGGCTTCAGGAGCCAGCGAGGGGGAGAGGCCGAGCCAAGAACACAGACTGGGGGGAGGTTGGCCGGGGTGGGGTGGGGGCAGGGCCCTCATCTCCCTCCTGTCCCTTTGGCGGGGCTGACCAGGGCCCCAGTCCCACCCCCATCTCCATCCCCTCCCCCTGGCGCTGAGCAGCCATTATCGGGGGAGCAGATTGCAGCCCCCTCCCCCTCTCCGGGAAGCAGGCACAGCTGGGGCCCCGCCACATCTGCTGCATCAGCACGGAGCACAGCTGGGTGTGCCCAGAGCTGCGCTCCCCAAAACACAAAGGGGAGGGCGGGGGCCAAGGAGAGCCCAGACCCCTGAGACAGACACACTGACACTTCTGCCAACAGACACACACTCCTCGAGGCGAAGCTACACCCACCACCACACACGCTCCCTCCTGTGCAGACAGGAGAACTGACAAACACGCAATTACTCTGCCCCGCCTGCCACCCCCGCTCCCCTCCCCCCGCCCCTTCTTCCTCCTCCCCTTCCTTCCCTCCAGGCTCCCCCTTCCGCCGCCTTGGCCACCTCGGCTCCTCTGGAGGGAGCAGGGGCCTCACCCTGCCTGAGCACACCTTTCTGGGAGGCACGGAGAACCGGAGGGCAGGAGGTGGTAAGGGGCCACCCGGTCTGAGCAGGAGCCTGGGCAAGCCACGGCCCACCCTCCGGGCCCATACTCCTCCCTACAAAGAAGTGCCCCTTGAGACATTAGTTCTTTCCACCCTGGGCGTGACGGGGCTGGCGCTCCATCCCGGGGCGGGTGGGCTGAGCACCCTTGACTGTTGCTCCCCGTGGCAGAGTTCCATTGGTCACCTCAAGGAGGCGCTGCGTTGCCCTGGGTTCTCCAGCCAGGAGCTCAGAGGCTCCCAGGGCCGGCACCTGCCATTCCCACCCAATCTACCCTGCTCACCCCTGCTTAGCAATGCCACCCTTGGTACTCGCGGGGTATGGGGCCTCGCCAATAGTGGCAGAGTCCCCATGCCCAGAAGAGATGATCAGGAACTCCTTCTTTCCTCTCTGCCAGGCAGCAGTCATCTCCCGGCCCCTGATTTAATCTTGCCCCCTTCACAGCCCTTGTTTCTCCTGCTCATCTCCTTAGCCCTGATGTCCTGCCCTCAGCCCTTTCCTTCGTACCCCTCACCCCACGGCCCCCCTCACCCCCCCTCCTGCGTCGCACCCCCGCCCCTGCCCCTCAGAGCTTTAATCCCTCCTGCTGCTGTGCCGCCTTATCTGCTCCCAGCAGCTTTCGCTGCTGCAAAGCCCTCTCCCCCTCCTTCTCTGGATCTTCTCCCCCTCCTTCCCTGGCTCCCTCTTCTCTCTGACCAGCACCCCCACTCCCAGCCGGTCTGTCTCTCAGGCCTCCATGACGGCTCCTGGCTGACCCCAAATTTGCCCTCCAGTGCCCCTTGCCCTCTCTCCAGCCTCAGTCCAGAGGTTGCCTGATGCCCACCCACTCCCACACTGGTCTCTTCCTACCCCGCCCCGCCCCCTCAGGCCCCGCAGACTTGGTCAGTTTCTGACTAGCCAAGATTTTTCATCTTTCTTCTTCCCTACTCTCCCTTTCCTGGTCCTCTCTTCAGTTCCTCCGGTTGCCTGCCCCTCGATCTTGGACCTGGTGTCCTTCGGCCCCGGTGATCCATTGCCTTGGCTTGGCCATCCTCAAAAGGGGATTGGGGGGGGGGGGTGTTGGAGTCAGCCACAGGAGAGGGATCAGGCTGGGTTGGCCCTAGGACAGGGAAGGGGGTGCAGAATGCTGGCGGGCAGTGGGGGCAGGGCCTGGCGGTGGGACGCTAACCCTCTTCAGTCGCCTCAGATCACGTCCGGGCCTCCCCACCCCCCTTCACTGGAACTCTCATTAACCGCTTCTCCTGCCTCGTCCGCGGCATAAATAACCCAGATAAATCAGCCGCCGTCCGCCCCCCGCCCCTCGGCCCCCGCACAGCCCGTTTGTCACCGCTGCTCGCTCACCAGCCAGGCCTGGCCCAGTCCCGGCCTCCACCCCCCCCATCCTTGTCCCTTCCCGCCCACGTCTGTCCCACACTAGCTCATCCCTTGGTCCGCACCAGAGCCAGGCCTGGGACAGGTGTCTGGGCTCGGAAGGATGGCAAGGCGTCCACTGGGAGGGGGAGGCTGGGGACTCTCTCTAGGAGAGAGTTTGGGGGTCATGTCATTTATGTGTGGGCCACCCAGGAAGGGAGTCTGAGGCTGACACAAAGGTGAGAAGGGGCAGATGCAACTCAACATGGGGGGGGGGGGCGTCCCTCTGCTGGGAAAAGAGGTGAAGCCCCAAAAGCCTGGGTATAGGAAGGACCTTGGAGGATCCCTTAGGAGCCCCCAAGCTGGATCATGAGAGGTGTCTGGATCTGCCTTTGAGGCATTTTGCCCAAATAAAACCTGCACCTTCTCAGGTGCTCTGTAAGAACCCTCTGCCCTCCCTGTCATCTCCTTCACCCTCTGTCCCCCATTCCCATGCCCTGCCTTATCTGGCTGTACAGATGCCACTCTAATCTCTGCCTCTCAGTCTACCCACTGCCATCAGGAAACCTAGTTCACCCTCTGGGGGATGGAGATGGGTGGAGATTGGACTAGGAACAAATCTGGGAAATGGGGACAACTGGAGAGCAGAGGAAATCTGGCTCTGAAGCCCCCTTAGCCCTGTGCCCCACACCTACTCGGGAACCAGGTCCCCGACAGACCCTCTCCCTCTGCTCACACCCAGCTCAGGTCCTGGCCAACCACACTTTGGCCCTGATGCTCACTGCAGGGGGCAGGTGGTCCCTGGGGAGTGGGTGGGGGAAGTCAGGAGGGGATGGGGGAGCTTGGGCGCAGGGCTGGGGGTGGGGGTGGGGAAGAAGCTGGGCCAGGCCCCAGGGACCAGCTGGGCAATGAGCCGGGGAAGCAGCCGGGAGGCTAAATGAGGGAGATTATCACCCAACTGCAGCCGGG